CAACAATCTTTATCAAAATGGCTGAATAAAGATAGCCACAGGTATCCCACAGAAAGCAATATTTTAACATACCTTGCCACAGCCTCTACAATGATGCCGTCTGTTAGTTACTGTGAATTTATCAGTACACAGCATGCACATGGTAACACGTGTGTCTTGTATCCATACTGGTGCTTTGTCACCGAGTTTACTCTCCTCTTCCCCGCCTTCAGGCTGAATAAATTAAATCAACAGTAAATTATTTTACCACTTTTCATACACTAAAGCGCCCCATTGAATAATAGGATCAAGGGACTGACCATTTAACTTTGGCGGAGGGAAGGGTGATTTGTTTTGTTCAAGATTTTTTGTGTGTGTTGCGAACTGGCTTCCCCAAATTTTTCGCCCTAGGAGTAGTGCAGGAGATTTGTTTTCAAATTCATTCGCCCAATCCGAAGTCAAATGTCCAGCCCCTATAGACCTCTTGCATGTGACGTCAAAGCAGCTTTATCTGGAGGACAAAACAAAAGATCTTTGCCCTCTTGGGAACTAGAATCCATTGTTTTGTCCTCCAGGGGCCGTTCTATAGTATGAGATTTACTAGTGCGGGTGTCACTATGATTGACAAGAGGCCTTCATTTCGTTCCACTTACCGGTGAGACTGTCCCGTCCTTAGACAGAAGGAATGTACTCTTTTTCTTTGTGAGAGCGCTAATTGCATTACCGAGTTCCTGAAGAAAGAGCAACAAAATTCAAAACTAAACCACCGTGAATATATCTTCTCGTTTCTTTCGCTCTGTTTCAACATATCAAAATCTTTAGTATCCAAAAAACTAATAAATACAGCCGATTCTCGTTTAAACAGACACCTTCGCAACCACAAATAAAGTCCACAAGGCCAGTGCTCCGAGCTTTCTTTAGACCGGCGATTTATTTAGGTGTCAATAATTATGGAGATTGGGGAGGACCGGCCGAGTGGGGAGTGGGGAGGAAAATTCTCGGCCGGCCCTCCCCAATCCCGTTAGAGCCGCTACGCAGGCTATAATAACGGGGTGTTCGCGGCAGATGACTGTATTCAAACGTACTTTCGTCAAAATAGGCAGATGTGGACTGATTTATATTTTTATAAAAACTCCGATAAATAAATTGATAGACGACCGCTGTACATCATAGTCGACTCAAAACGACTTTTATTACAAACAAATGATCCATGCATGTTTGCATTATCTTTACCTCAATCCATTCGTCTCTTTCTGCTTGCGTGCTGAAAACAAAATAAAATAAAAAATGTAGTCACTGACTACAGTAAATGAAAAACACAAAATAGATCGTGTTAAAGGTCCACGTGCATCGAAGAACCTTTGCGCGCCATCAAATCAATCATCAAACCCATTGGTCCCAGAGGATGAATGTAGAGCAAGTGAACAAGTGCAAGCTAGAGCGGATTTCGTATGAGTGGGAAACGGACGGTACTGAACTGTGACCGTAATCGTACTGTAACCAAATTCTAGTGCCCCATTGGTTCACCAAAATTTTGCAGGCCAGGTCCGGTAACTGTGCGGTAACCGTGCGGTAACGATGTCCCACTCATACGAAATCCGCTCTAATTTGTCGTTTATTCCGTTATATTTCATTTTGCCTAATTAATCGTTACATCGTGCAGTAACTTTACCTTGCCGAGAGAGTAAATGATCTTGAYTTACTGATGATACTAAATTCATTTTCAAATTCTGGAGAATCAGGAAGGGCAACCTATAAAACAATGGTTAGAATTACATCCAATAGTCATGAGCCATCACATAGTACTTAAATCTATTACCTTGATTCCTAGTAAAGGGAAAGTCCCCTTTAATTTGTAYTGACCACCACCGACAGCACTTGTATACAACAGAACATCAGTGAGCTGCGACAAACGAAGAAAATAATATCAAATACAACGTCCCTTCCTCGATTGTTTGCTCTTTTTGGCATGGTGTGATGACGAATTCTTACTGACCAGGAAGAAAGTCCTTTCTTGCATGTCCTTCCGRCACAACTTTTGAAGAGTCCCTTCTTTGATGAATTCCTAGATATCAGAATTACCTCTTAGCTTTGTAACACTATAAGTTACTAATAACGAGTTGGCTTCAAAGAAAATCTACTTGAGCAATCGTGGCTTACCCGACCAGGCTTTACAATTTCTGCATTACCCACAAGGCTCTCTTGGATACYAAGTACTCTTTGAAAGTTATCCTATAACGAAAAGTTACTTATTTAAGAACTTGGAAAAACGTTTGAGCAAATCTTTACAGTGAAGATACTAACACTCTTTTTCATTGATTCGTTGATATGAGTGGCCACCTCGGAAACGATATCAAGAGCAACTAAAGGAGACATAATAAAGTTGTAATGAAATGGCACAAAAAACATATAATAATGATACGAAAAACAGCACCAATAACGACGACAATGAGCTTAACAACAAGCCTTCAAAAAAAATCAAAACTTTAATATGAAAAAGCGGCAATGAAAAAAAAAACACCCCGCAAAAACCACAACAGCAACAACCGTATCAAAAATGAACCGTCCATAAACATTGGTAATAGCTACAACAACGACAACAACAGCAGCAGCAACAACAAGAGCAACGAAAAAAAGGAACCGTCCTTTAACACAGGAAATAGCTACAACAACAACAGTTAAACAACCAACAACGACATAAACAACAGATAACAAAAACAACGACAAGAACAGCAAAGGTGGACAGGACGCAACTAAACCTTTAATGTCTTTGTATTCATCAGAATCAGGTGGAAGATGCTTTAAATAATCTACAAAGAAAATAAGAAAACACTCAAATAAACTACTAGTTGATGCGCATCGCACGTTCAAGCACATATACACACACACTTACCTATTAATAGCAACCGATAACTTGGTATTCTTTGTACAGGTTTTAACATAAATGACTCTAAGAACAGACCTTTGCACTTCTTGCTTGCCTAATGAAGTAATGAAACGAATAAAGCTTTTAAGTAAATGCAAAGAAGCGTAGCCCGGCCTCCAAACAAACAGAAACAGAGGCAAAAGATAAAAAATACCCACAAATATTAGAAAAAACGCAAACCTGAAACTTTTGCACGAGCTCAGCAAATTGAAGATTCTCTTTAATAGTTTCTTGTAGAACACTGACAGCTTTATCATAGTGGTTGATATAGGTGGTGTACATCTAAAATACAGAATAATTGTAGAATTAAGTGGTTTTTGAGCTATATCTGGGGACAGTTGTATGAAGGGTGGATAAAGTCATCAACTTTACAGATTTTTTATGGRTTTTATCYGCTAATAAAGATTTATCTAGTGGATAGCRCAATTCACCTTTCGCAAAACCGACTCCTGATTGATAMTCTAATAMACCTTTTCAGTTGCACTTAGGCCTCGAYAGCAAGTWAATWHTTYTTTTGAATTTGACAAATGAGACTATTCATATCAATGTTTGCATTGCTCACATTCCTACAAATTCAAAAGAATATTTAACACGCTGTCGAGGCGTAAGAGCAACTGAAAAGGTGTATTAGATATGGATAGGGTAACAATACCTTTAGAAAATAACTATATTTCTTCACTATGTCTCCAATTCTCTCGTTTTCTTCCCTGATACAGATGAGAGTAAGAAAGTCACGAGGGTGGTGACGGGTGGTCACGTYCAGGAATTAGAAAATACGATACAGTTAAATTAGCTTCCTTCGAAGGCATACTCGCGGGATTTCGTGTTTTAAAGCAGAAAATCGGCCGTAAGGGAGGGCTTAGTTGTTACTAGGATGAAKCAACACAGGAAGGACAAGGATAGAAAAAATCCGTTTCCTTAAGGAGTGGCCTGCGAAGGAGGCTAAAGTAAAATATTGTTGACTAATTTTATTTATTAACCATTGAGTCCAATCAAACTCCTACCCCCTRGATCCGACCCTGCATAATGATGTCTTTAGAATACTTACCATGTTTTCATTCTTTCCTGAAGTTCGTTTAAAAACTTATCGTCAAGATGATAAATGTTACCAAGATCTTTGAAAATGTCATTAAGAGTTGACTCYGGTACAACATCAGCTTCTTTGATCATTCCATAACAGTCCTATAGGAAGAAAGATATTGGCCACTGTTCTCCAAAACACAAGGAGTCTTATAGAAAGATAATAATGAACATACCTCGTAACACAAAGTAAGCGCTGTTACAAAGGTTTTTTCRGTTGATARAATCTCRTGSGCGATGTGGTAGGTTTTCTTCTTCGGGGGCCCAGCATGCTGAWGAAAACAGAGATGGATGATGATYAAACAARAGTATCTCAGGGTAAACGAGTGTTTGTTAGTGTATCAAAACACCGAGAAGTRGGTGTAAAAAGCAACATATATCGCGSGAAATGTCATAACCAATAGGGATGGTAATATACATTACCGCTGGTGGYTGCTCATCCTCAGACTCYGATGAACTGTCCATGGGYGAAGAAGGAAGGGAATCTAAGAATACGAATTTATGAGATGAGGACAAAATAAATAAATAATAAAAAAAGCAGCAGCAACAACAACAACAGCGCAAATAGAACAAGAAGACAGCTCATTTTCATGAGACTGCGTACATCGAGATAACCAACAAATAATAATCGCAATATAACCGAATGTAGGTAAAATTGTCCACTACTCACCTTGCTCGGACGAAACAACGCTTACTCTATTCAGTGGCGGTGGGGGAGGTCGAGGTGGTGCTATTTGTTTAGTTTCAGAGTCATTTTTCGTTGTGCTTTTATTTACAGTCCCGACAAAAGAAGGTGCTTTTGGCCGTGGTGGTGCTGGCCGTTTTGGCTTAGGAGATGCATTGGATTGATCCTCGTTTTCGTCTTTTGCTGTTTTTTCCTCACTAGAGTTATCTAGACTGCTTCTTGGCTTGGGGTGAGGTGAGGCTTCAAGTGTTTGTTGTGAATCTCCAAGGGTACTACTTCCCCTTGGTTTAGGCGTTTCACTTTGTTGCTCAGAACCATCAAAACTTGACCTGGGCGGCTTCGGAGGCGCATTTTTAAGAGATGATGGAAGTTGCTCCCTCGACGTAAGCACAGAAGATCGAGTAGCACGCCTTAACCTTGGATTTTCATTTAATGACGGTTCATCATCCTTCGATGGCTCAACTGATGCAGGAACGGAGTAAACTTCGTTTTCTGGTTCAGTAGYATTCTTTGGTACTTGGTAAACATCATTCGATACCTCTTCACTGCTAAGCGACGACGGGACGTGATATTCTGACTCAGAAATTGGAGTCTCCTCAGACATGGCTCGGACTGATTTTGGCGTAACATACAGATCTTCACTATCAACTGTAGCAACCGACTTAGGAGTTACATAAAGGTTTTCCTGTTCCGTTGAGGGAGTTTGAATAGACCGTGGGGCCACGTAAACATTATCAGCATCCGGCTCTGTACGCACAGATYTCGGAGCTACGTAAGTTTCCTCCGTAGAATAAGCTCTTACRCTTTTTGGGGAAGCGTAAGTTTCTTCTGCTTCTGGGAGCGTCGACTTTCTAGTTGGAGGTGTGGCATARGTGCTCTCTGCCTGAAATCTGGCATTTCTACCACCCTTCTTCCTCTCCATAGATCCAACAGAGGCGGACCTGGCAGAACGCACTAAGCTAGAAGTCGGAGAGTCCGAGTGGAAAGAATTTCGTCTTGGAACCTGGTAGACGTTATCATCTTCCTCAAACGTTTCTTCGCCTCTAAACACCACGTTTTCATACGTTGCCTTTTGAGGTGGTTGTTGTTTATTTTCTTYAGGACATTCATCCTTAGGAGCAGATTCTGAAGTTTCAATAACTTCTTTAGCTTTTTCTTCGTTTGATACACTTTGTCTTATAACTACGGCGTTTTCGTACACATCTGTGCGCTTATTAGACGTATTTTCAATACYAGCTTCATTCTCGTCAGCTCCAACTGAAATATCTTGGGGTTGAATTATTGACATATYTTCATAAACATCAGTTCTTTGCGAAKATTTCTTTTCCGACTCGGCTTCTTCATTGTATTCCTCAGCGGACTCTTCAGTYTGTACCAATGACGTGTTTTCGTATGTATGCCTATTTTTCAAACGACTTGGTCTGGATGGTTTTACTGGTTGAGGGGAAAGTGGTGGTTCGTCGTCCTTGYCTTGCTCATTTTCTGGAGATGTTATCATTACGTTTTCGTATTGGGACATCCTTKCTGGAGAAGATGCTGGTTCTKCTTCTTGGACTTYRGTGCTACCATCGYTCAATCCCTTRGATTTTGTTTSTTCACTTATACATATTTCATCAGTAGGATGGTCTTGAGAACTACTCACCGAKCTATCTAAACCTTCATCCATCGCCACATACAAATCAATATCAGTTTCGTARGGTTCCTCAGAAACCTCCTCCGCAGGTYGTTCATTTCGTGTTTGACGTAAATCACTTTSAGTCATTTCACTTTCGTTTACCTCATCGCCATTGAAGAATTCGTCGTCCAAAGATGTTTCCATGTAACTTGAGCGTTTGTCATCGCTAGGTGGACTTCGCGGASCAGGAGCAATATCAGACTCATMATCTAAAGCTATGACATCTTTTACATCGTTTTCATCAACATTGGTAGAGCCTTCTTCAGTTTTTCCTTCCGTAGGTTCTTGTTTCTCGGGTAAGTTCTGCTCGTTAAGGAAAGATTTTTCAACATCAGATATGCACTCCTCTTTCTCTTCTTCTTCTTTATTCTTTGTTTGAATAGTCGTAAGTAGGTCACTTTCATTAGGAAGACATTCTACAACGTCGATGTTGGTTTCTTCAAGATCTTGCTCTACGTKWTTACTATTTTCATTATATATTTCATTTGGCAAAACTGTCTCTCCTTCCATGCCACTTGCATCTTCAGCAAGGGTTTCAGTGTCATCATTTTCCTTTTGAAATAAMTTTTCATGCGAGTCGCCTTGAGCAACACATTCAACTTGKTCAGATGTCCCTTCCTTTGATTCTTGTCTGCCMGCTTCAGAGTTGTCTTGCTCTTCACAAGTATTTTCCGCAGTTGTTGTTGGACCCACTGAAGATATCCCCTCTTTCTGKAAACTATCGTCTTCACAAGGATAGACTTCCTTGTGTGAAGATTCAAACGTTTCATCATAATCTGACTGAGTGCTRCTGTTTATAATCTCGGCATCAATATCTGTTTCTATCGGTTCACTTATACTTAACGTATCATCAGTACCTTCATTGCTGACTTCCATTACAGTTTCTTTGATTTCTGTGTCAAGACTRCTTTGTAAGTTTGCACTCTCTGGAACATCCTCCGTAAAACTGACTGAAGAAGTGTGCAATTCTAAATCTTCTTGAGCTATGTTATTAATAGTTTGTRCATCATTGATTTCCTTGGATCCACTTGTCTCTACAAGTTCATGAAGAGAAGATTCTACCTTACTAATATTATCCACTGGGAGCGGATCCTCAGAATTTGAGACACTTTTAAATTCTGTGTTATCAACACTTGTTCTTTCCACATTTTCAATAATCAAATCTGCGCTCGGAGTTTCATCTTCGGCAGATATAGTTTCRATATTTTCTTTTTCATTAATATTATTTTGAATTTCTCTACTATTAGGTTCATCTTCAGGAGAAACTTCCTCAGAAACTTTAGATACTTTTTKAGCATTATCCGAATCAGAATTACTTTTAGGTTCCTCAATATCATCAGATATCATTTTGTCATCTTGTTCTAGAGCCATCTGTCCCTCATTTGAAGAGTCTTTGTCAGCAATATGTGACTCTACAACACCATTTTCAGTTATATCTGATTGTTTTTYTCTATCTTCAAGTTCGTTATTTCCACCATTTGTTATGGGGCTACTGAGCGATCTCTGTTTTGTTACCACGTCTTCCATAGCATTATCTTCTAACGAASAGCTTTTGRACACAGCTTCTTTGGATTCGACAGAGCCAGTTCTCGGGATTGTTGCAGCCTTTTTCTCCTGTTCTACGGGTCTAGGGGGTCTTTTTGGTTTAGGAGGAACAGGTGGTTTAGATTTTCTTGATAAGGATGACGTTCTCTTTGGCGGTGGTGGTCTTTTGGGATTTCCTTTCTGTGCCTTTTCTGGGGAATCATCTGAAGAACGTTTGGGTAACTTTTGCGAGAGTTCGATTTCACACGATGACGTCTTTTGGGGGCTCCCACGTGACACTCTTGGAGATGACTTTGGTGATGACCTWGGTGAGCCTCTGGGAGGTTTAACAGGATGTTCCTTTGAATAAGACCTGGRTGTGGCCTTCGGTRTCCCTTCCGTTGGMTCTGGTGACTCCTTAGGTTCGCTAGCCTCTCTTCGYCTGGATAATGAAGCTGAAAGYTCTTTTCTTTTGGCATGTGGTATATGTGATGTCAATGATGGCGAAGAAAGTTGTTTGTAGGGAGCTGGTCTGGGTGGTGGTGGCTTTTTTGGTGCCACTTTTGGTCTTTCAGGTGGCTGTTTGCGTTGAACTTCAGGGGAGCTTTTGGCAGGAGTTATTTTTTGTTGTACTTTTGAAGTTTCAGGTCTTGTTGGAACTTTCTTTCTTTCTTTTTTGCGTGGTGGAGGAACAGGCTTGTGTTTTTCTTGATCAGATTCACTGGAAAAGAAAGAAGAGGTAAAAATGTAGTTACATATTACTCAGTTTCCAGAAATACAGATCCATTTAGATACCCATGCACAGTATTAGAGCTGTAAAGAGAGCAACTCTTTGCTTTGTYATTCAACATGCAACGGTTTTCAACATTGGATAATGCAAGAAAGAAGAGAATTACCCTGCGAGCAGAGTGTATTTCCTTACCTCAATAAAAATTCGTTGAGAGGTAAGGAAATACACTCTGCTCGCAGGGTAGAAGAGAATAAGAATAGGAGAACAGAAAAAGGAAAAAGATGGTGGGAATGGAGAAAAGCAAGTATGTCATAATAATAGAAAAAATACTTTATTTCCAATAAACCTTTTTCAAATGATTTTAAAAAATAGTAAAAATGTAGAATAGAACCGTAGAATAATACATGTATGAACAAGAATAAAGTGTGGATTCATATAGTAATTATTTGCTTATACACTGTAGTTCTTACTTTTGTCCATTGCTTGAAACAGAGCCTGGGAAACAAAACATATTTACTTCATGAGTAAAAGTTCAGTATCTAAAATTACATTTTCATAACAATATTGCTTATGTGATTATCTAGAGAAAGTATTGTTTTATTATAAGACATTTTTCAAGGTAAATAAAGAAATCTAAATAGAATTCCCAAAGTTATGACTTTGAGATGAGCATATACAGCAAATCAAGTTTAAACTTCAGAAAATCATAATCATCTATATTATGATACGAGGTAGCCATCCCAGCATACATGTCTTCCCTCTCTGAGATTGCTGTGTTAAGTCAGAGTGAGGGGGGAGCAGCACGACTAGTAGCAAGGCAAAGGAAAGTGGAATGCCAGTGAAAAGGCTAGCAAAATTAGACATGAATAAGATGATGACACCCCCTATTATCTAGTAGTAAGTACTGTACTAATTAATGTAGCAATGTACAAATAAAYATGTTAAGATTAATGTTAAAAAAAAGAAGATGACATCCCCATTAGTCTCCACTTGTAGCCATTATATTGATTTAAGGAATAAAAGACGAAATTCSGTGTTTGATACTCTGATCAAAACACGCGGGATGTAGGGAGAGCACGAGAGAAGCGTAGGAAACCACGACGCGTAGCGGAGTGGTTTCMAGCYTTTCGAGTGCTCTCCCTACATCCCAAGTGTTTTGATCAGAGTATCAAACACGGAATTCCGTCTTTTATTTCTTTTATTTCTTTATTTCTTTTCGTGTTTTGATACTGTAATCAAACATGGTTTTAGACCAATCACAGCGCGCGTAGTATCCTAAGTATTTTAGAATATATAATTCTGTTATGTTTCACTATTGACACTGAGTTTCAACTTAATGATTCAGCCCCAGTCTGCAACTACTCTGGACTACTGGCAACAATATTTATATTATATTATTACTGATACTCATAGTTTCCTATGACATTCTCTTTTGCAGGGATAAAACTATTCTAAATGTCTCAAATTCCATGACTTTTACATGGTTTTTAATGATCAAAATATGGAAAGCCTAAAAAATAGTTCGTCATGCACACAGCCTTCAATTGGTTGAAATTTGGTAGCATTTGATTCGTCAGCACTAGCAAATATCATGCATTTGTTATGAATTTATGCAGGAAATAGCTGTCATTACTATCACAAGATGACAAACAAGGACATTTTCAATGACTTCCCAGACCTGGAAAACTAAAATGTAAAATTCCATGACTTTCCAGGTTTTCCAGAACCTTACAGAACCTGTTATACCTTACAAAATAAACCACACTATATAGYATACTGAAAGCCTACTTCAGATATTTCGGTTTAGTAACAATGCACAAAAGAATCATACCTGAGTCTACAAAGAAATAATAGAATACATTAATATTATCCATTGTTTTCCTGGGCCCACGTCTGGATTCATTATATACATGGTTACTCAACCAAAATGTCCAAAGTTGGCTATTGCAACTTTAACCATTAATTATTATATAAAAAGTACATGTAGTCTATGGAGACTAGTGATACCCTCAGGTGCCCCTTGCAAGCCACTGTCCCCTACCTAGAGGTACCCAACATAGGAGACCAAAACATTAATTTTCATCTCCTAAAGGTACAGAGTGCATGTACATCCAAGTCATCTTTTGATAAGTAAGTTTTTTCAATTCTTTCTAATGCTTCAACACTTTGTTGTTTAGGTATATTTGTCAGATTATAACTGTTTAGGCTCATTTTTTTATTCAAGAAACGATTACTGTTGACTGACATATGCTGAACAACTTGCAGAAAATTATATTTGTGTTGTCACTGACGAAGGATGAGCTAAGTTTAAAGTGAAACRGTCTCTAATGATATCTTTCTCAGACTTTTTGGGAAATACTAATACAGTGAACCTAGGAATCCCTATATTGAAATGATACCATAATAATTTGACAGCAAAGTTACTATATAGTGATGTTTACAACATAAATTTTATTAATTTTTTCGTTAAATAAGAAATTAGTTAGTGTCTAGGTGTAAAAAACAGACAGTATATTCTATATTAGTCTAATGGCTAGAATAATAATTAATTCGTATGCTTATAGCCATTCGACCACATGTCGTTGTACATATCGAGAAGTCGAGAGAGTTATAACAATGAAGACTTAGTAATACAAACAAAATGACAGTCTTTATTTGTGTATGTCAGGAACACACACAACTTTATTTTCTACCATTAATCATACTGAAAAAAAACACGTATTTTTCCTTCAAATACCATGAAAAATCGATAGTTGCTTTCGATCTGTCAAGCCAGATCAAGTCTCGACTTGCATTCGTAAATATTTATTTGTTAGTATACTGTACTTCTCGACTCTTATAGCAAAATACTCTAGAAGTAGAGCTTATAAAATGCTATCAATAGTGCCGATTATATTTTAAGCAATGACGAAAGGTTATAAACGGCTTTCATGAATTAGTAATCGGTTGGTCATATTTATTTAGAATTGTGGTGTTGTTTCTGTAAACCATGCATYATACTGTACCTGAATGCTCAGTCCCTTCTTGGCTTCGCTTCCTCTCACTTTCAGGCGAGCCAGTACTATAAGACATCAGCGCTTTAAGAAGAAGTAAAGACAATCTTAGTTTAAATCCTCTACTTTTCTTTAACGGAAGCAAGAGTTTCAATTAGTAATTTGGAGAAGGTCCAATCGCGAACAGAATTCAAGCGGAAATGACTTGTRTCCAGTGTGGTATTGAATGCATTTTTTGCGCCATGGATTGAAAGTCACGAACTATTCGATGTTGAAGCAACTGAATTAAAATCTATCCCACAAAAACATCTTATTAATTCACAATAAAACAGATCATAATACGAGAACATTGGAGTGTAACACCCCTTGTGATTAAACGGGCTGGATCGATCGTCTTGTCATTCAATAGCGAATAATTGGTAACACAATGTACTCTCAAAACTCACCCTCAAATGTCTTTGCCCTTTCCCTGACGTTCATTCTGGCCAATCAGAGACGCAAAAGGATAAGGATATGACCCGATTGTGCGGTTTTTACATAGCGAAGGCGTAGAATAACAAAAATATTTAAAGCTTTTGTGRAGGTATTTCGGYAAAGTTTCCTTAATAGATTTCACTTATGTCATGTGATTGTTATGATGGGTAGCTACCGCTGAATTTGGGAAAACTGAACTTTGAATATAGTACGAATCTCTTTTGTTCTCATTTACAATAGAGCTAGAAAAAAACTGTTTTTACTGGAGCCAATAAACCGATAAAGAGGGACGAGTCTGTTTAGCTGCTGCATTCCTAAAATTTCAAGTATGTAACATCTGTTATCAATACTTCTAGGATTCGGGCTACCTGTGTCCCTTGAAGGAGTTTCAGCTAGTATGAAGTAATGTACATGTTGACATGCACGAAAAAGGAAAAAAAATCATTTATATTCATGCAAATGATAACGCCTGGATACCATATATTTTTTGGGACCAATTTGGCTGCAATATTCATTTTGAAACATGCATTGATGACAATGATGATGCAGTTAACAACTGGTCAAAAAATGGCCCAAAGGTCCCCAAAGCTGGTCAGGACRAAGGATGGTCATGTGAACATGTGGTCAGTTTAAAGTACCACTAAAGTTTCAATTATTTCATTCTGAAGTCAGTCACTCTTAGCTTGGGTACAGGTGGTTGAAATTTACCATTTCTCTTGGTTTATTTCGAGATCATTCATCAGTCCTACACTGGGAGCATCAGCACTTTGCACCAAGAGTAAACTATAAGAAATGGTAAATCCCAACTCCTGCCACCCAGAGATGGAACCATTCTTACATTCTCTCCAATGAATTGAGCCTGAAGCTGAATGAAAACTGTTTAATGAACAATAAGAAAAAATAAAATCCAGAGATTCTGATGATATTCTTATATATTAATAGATGATCTTTCAGACGACAAATTAAAAAAAAAAGAAATAATACAAAGAAAGGAAAATCATGATCATTCAGAATCGGTAATAATCATCAAAAYCAATTTTTTTAAGAAATGAGAAAGAGATTGAAAGCAAGTGCCATTATACATTTTTGAGTGTAAAGAGCGACAGTTAAAGTTTAGATTATCATTTCTGTGACTGCATATTCTTGGCTCCATTAGCATGCACAGCTGAGTGTTTTTTTGGGAAAAGWGGGAGAAAATGGGAGAAGAAAGGGCACTTTTCTAATTCTCCTCCCTCCAAAAYGCCATATAATATGCATGCTATGCCTCCTCATATTTCAAAACTTAATTCATTGAAATATATACCTRTTCTTAATTGCAAATATGTGATAGCAGCTTTCCCATTTTCTGTTGCCAAAGGCTACTTCAAAAAGAAGCATTCCCACTACAGTTTGAAATGGGCGTCCTGTGTTAATAACTTCAGTCTGACACAGGAAGCCCAAAGGGTAGACCGTAGCAACTAGAGAAAGATGGAACAAATTATAGCAGATCACTTTGCTGGCTGTAATATCGTGTCTATAAGATGTTATTTCTAATGCAGGTCCAGGTCTGTTCTTTTTACAGTTAAACTTTTTTGCTTAATTTCATGTTAGTTCTCTTCCATTGGCACATCACAGTTGACTTCAGGAATATCATCTTGTTTGCTGTCTTTATTTTTCTCGTTCATTTCATCTGCTGTTAAAAATAAGGTAGACTTAGTGTGGGGAATCCATGAAGAATTAAAATAATGATTAAAATGCCGCTGACTGTCCGATAATCAAAAACTCACTCTCTTTTCTTTCTTGATTGTTTTCATATAAACACAATATGATAACACACACCCTTCTGGTCTTTATTTCCTSAAAAGATTCACAACTTTCAAAAATGGCGCGATATGTCACCATCCCTGACCAGGGCACTGTTGACGAAGCACTAAAACAAGGTCTCAAAGGCCAGTCTCCTTATAGTAAACTTCAAGAATGTCTTTCAAGAGTGGTTTGTTAAACCTTTGTTCACTACAAACACATGATCTTTGTAGTGATATCTAGATGGAAGGCTTTTGAGGTCTCGTTTCCATGATTCAACACCAGTCCCCCGATATTTACAGTTGTGAAATACTGCCATTTTTGAAAGTTGTGTATTCAAGGAGTATTCCAGGAGTTATTGGATTTTTCATATTTTCAAGGGCTTTTCAAGTGAACATTTCAAGGATTTCAAAGAGTCACATCAACCATGTTCAGTGTAATTATTAGTAATTACTGATTTCATGAAGACATTATTATTATCACTTTGTTCAAAGGACATGGAATTTAGTAGTAAAACATACCCTGTCCTATTGAATCTTCCTTTGTGTCTTCTATGTTCTCAATACTTTTTTCTTCTTCACTATTATTTGTGGTTTTATCTYCTTCATTTTCTGTATTACTCGCTCCTTCTTGTTCATATAATTCCTTTGAAGGTTGTTCTAAAAGCTCTGGTGAACTACCATCATCACTACATTTATCCTTTAAAATATCCTCACTTTCCGTGGTTTTGTTTTCAGTATCGTTCCCTTGTTCTGATGGTTTTTCCTCCACTTCATCTTCTATAGACTTTTCCTCCTCTATTCTACGCTCTTCATTTACTTGCACATTTTCCTGTGTTGCATTTCCATTCAAGTGTTGTAATTCATCTGTTGTTGGGTAGTGTGTGTCATGATAATRCTCTGAAWRTTTGCCATTACTTTCACACTCGGTAACTGAGGTCATTTCAGTAGCGCTTGCAGTTGATATAATGCCATTGGTGACAGGTCCATTGGGTATGCTTGTATTTTCATGATTATTGGTAAGKCTGGAAGGTAATGAARTATTTGAGTTTTATTTGTGCAGGCAAAATTTTTGAAATTATTACTATAAATCAAATGAAACATACTCTTCTCCTTCAATGTCTGCCATCGTGCTAACTACAAGAACATTCTGAAAAGATAGAATACAAACTCATTATTAGACCAACTGGTTTGCACATTTAAACAGTTACATGTAMATGACAGGAGTTGTCACAAAGAGGCTCAGTTAGGTCAGTAGTACATGTAGGCAGTCTAATGTTGATGCCAGTGCAACAGCCAGGTTTTTTTCACATTGTACATGATTTGTGTTTTATGACGGCAGGTTGAGTGTCTGAAGTCTGAGAAAAGAAGCCTGTCACTTGACATTGTTATCCAAAACAACAGGAGGCTCCAACTATTTGCAGATGGAGGAACAAAGGAAGCAGCTCTTCCTCAATAATTAATCTTTAGACCATAAATAATATTCATCTGAACAGGAATATGCTGTGTAAATATCTGTTCCCATCCCTCCCTTATCCTTCTCTATGGGGGGAGGGTTGRTAACAGATGTGCACAGACGAAACAGGAACTCAGGCCCCAACTTATGCATAGTTTACTGGTGTTCTGTCATTCAAGCCAACTTGTGTGCAGTAATCATTATTGACCACAGAAATGTTGACAGTGATGATTTCAATAGTGTAACTATGTTACCTTCTCCACTCCTCTCATGAATTTGTCACTACTTTTGTAATGTCGCTTTGGTTCAATCATTAATTCACATAATCTTTGTACTGTAAATGGTGCACTTTAGAAAAGAAAGAAAACAGATTGCTATGAAAACARAAAAACATTYGAACATATTCTGTWGGGTTTGTGCTACATTTTCACTACAAAATTCCAGGRCTTTTCAAGTACTTTTAAGCACAAAAATGTGATTTTCAAGGAGTATTTTTGAAGATATTTATTGATGTTTGCAGATGTTTCAGACATTTCAATCCAAAAGCTAACAAACAACGAGTCAATTTTATCAGATTCAAGGAGTTTCCCAGGAGTTTCATGGAAGTTCCCCATTTTCAATGGCTTTCAAGCGCCCTTGAAAACGAGTTTTTAATTCCAGGATTTTTCAAGGACTTCAAGGAGTAGCACAAACCCTGATTCAAATCCTYACACAAACCAATATTCATCACTTCTTCTAAAAGAAAAAAACAACAACAACAAAAATTCACTACTGTTTTACCTTGTAAAAGACTCAATACAATCTAATAATCTTTGTCTCATAACATCAAACTCTGCTGTGTGGGTTGGTTCTGATGAGGTACTATTTCGTGATGGACTACTCTCAAAAAAATCTCTCATAACCTGATTCAAAATAAACAAAGATGAGCATGTTAACCTTCAAATACTATAGCTCTATTATAAAGAGTGTTAGTAGGTGTATATTTGAATATGAAAACCAGCACTGTTTTCAGTTAAAAAAGGGATTCTTTTCAGATAAAAAGAAATTCACTTAAAAAAAACTTTTACCAGAAATGTGGCACCAATAATAATGAGCTTAAATTTGCAAAAGCACCTTAGATATGTCTTTAAAAAAAACAGGAAAAGGTGTACCAATTCTTATCAAAAACACTTATGGTAATACGTTAAAACATTAATTAGAATTAATTTTTTTATAGAAAATTTATCTTCAAATATGAAAAACAATTTTAGAAGAAATTGAGAAGGTCATTAAAGACGAAACATGTTTTTCAACTCTATTGTTTTGTTCGCTATGTTAATAGATAAGCAGTGAATGAAAAGTTCATATACCAGAAAATAAATTTTAGTTTTATAAACGATGCTTTCTTGTGTAGTCTGCAAGGTTTCAATTTTATCAACAGAGATAAGCTTAACAAAGATGAATGATAACAAATGGCATGGCATAATAAATGTACTGGAAACAAAGTAGAAAAAGGCATAAAGTACACTTGCCTTGTCCAATTTAAACATAAATACAGGCTTTAAGTAAATCCAGGGAATTCTGAAATAGAAAAATTAGTGTATAAATAAAAGTCAGGCATCACATAAAAACAAAAAGAATATGTTTTTTCAAGAGAACAACATCTTAAGAAGTATTTGTCCATTTCTAGCAGGTATCAAAATATTTTTTTCAATTGTTTCATTATTAATCRGCCTAATTCTGTGTACATGTAAATGATATATTAAGACTTTAAATGGTTTTTCAGTCCAGATAACTACAAACATAGGCTGATATACCATAGAAATTGTTCAAAAATTTAATTCAAACTCTGATATATCAAGAAATGATGAAATTAAATCAAGAAATGCAATGTCAAAATGAATGAAATATATTGTGAATACATCAACGTGTTTGTTTCAATTCATCAAAGACACCAACATGGTATTTGCCGCTGACCTCTAATTAAATCTGAGCKTACGAAATCTTATCCTTATTTATAACCTTATGTACTGGAAGAAAATCCCTACTATTTGACATGCTTAACAACGACTGTTTACATTCAACTAATAGAGAAAGAATTTAGGCAAAAATTACGCAGGCTAATTTCGGCCTAAGCTTATTTCATGAAGTCAAGACCATTTTCAACACTCAAATCAAAGCGGATTTTGACAATATTCAATGGCTATTCGTGATAGTCCTTACTGAATTCTGCCAGTGTGAGCAATCTCTATAAACACATCTTCTAATTCTTGAGTAAGGACTTTGTCCGCATCTGTCATGTTCTCGAATTCTGTGAAGAAAGGCAAAAATTTGTTTCGGAAATGCCACGAAAGATCAAAGGCAAAAGCTCATTATTTGTTGGACGAACGCGTTCAACTTACCATGTAAAGCTTGGATAACTCTCTCATTAGTATCCATGACACAAGSCTTTAAAAAATCGAAGATTAATTTAAAAATCCAGCCGAATTATTATTCTACTAGCTGATTCAAAATGCATACAACAAAAATGGCGCCATTGAGAGATACGTCACATCGTGTTGATGGCATTTACAGTCTGCCTTATATGGTAACTTTACGTCATAGATTTTTAAAACAAAATATGATTTGTCTAAATGYAACTRCAGATAAACCAATCAGAGACTGTTTTATTTGAAGCAAACGAAGGTTCAAAATTCTATTTTGATACAAGATGGAGTCTGTAAGTTTGATGATAGAACCAGATTTTGGTGGCTCAAAGAAGTCTTCTATTGAAGATGACTTTACTTATGGAGTTACTGTTGCTCAAACAAACATCAAGCTTCGACTTGGTAAGATTTTGTCCCGCCAAAAAGAAAATTTTGGCATTTTTTTAATTTCACTTTCACGACGAGTTCCACTCCAAACATTGACACCTTTTGGAAAGCAATTCTCTCGCAACATTCAAACGTGAAGCAATTAAAAGATAATGTTCGACTTGGATGTTTTTGGAATCAGATCTAAACTAAAACTAAACGTTTTCCAATGTACAAAAACCTCTTGCAAAATTTCCTTCAAAAACGAAGCTTAAATTAAGCTTACGTAAGCTTAAGTAAAAAGTTTGTAAGCTTGTTAGCATAAATAAATATTGTATTTTCCATTTTTTTTTTTTTTTGTATTTCATGTTATTTTTCGTGGATTCATTTTAATTGCGTTTGTATTTAACCTGTATAAGTTAATTATTATTGCAAGACCTGTTCAGGGTCAATAGCTTTTGATATGTTGTTTGATATTAAAAATAAATTCCTATTTATAGAGAATCGATAAAAAAATATTTGTATAATGTTATATATGTACAGTTAAACTTTACTGTTATTGTTTTACTGTACAGGTAAACAATAAGCACATTATATCATATTAGATACAGCTATAGCCAGAAAACTGTTTGTTGTTGAGGGTTTTTCCTGACAAACTACTTTTATTACTATAATGGACTTTGGACTTCTCTTTCAGCATTTCTAAGAAAAGTGTATGGCATCTTGAGTGCCCAGCTTGGTTTAACAATTCTGGTGTCTGCGGTATTTATGAACACACCATGGATCAAAGGTTTTGTACAACAAAGGTAAAGTAGAGTATAGCTTCCTCTACAGGTGTCTCTTTCCTAAGAAAAAACAAAAAAATATATTGTTTGTTTGCTTTTGCTTATATCACTTTGTGAGCCCTAATTTTTTGGTAAAAAGTGGCATCACTGTAGAATGATTGCACTTAAACCATGCAACTGTATTCTTAATTACCAATTTTTTTCTCAGGCCAGAGCTATTATTGATTGCATTCTTATTGTCAATGGGTTTTCTTATTGCCCTGATGTTCAAGAGAAGAGAAAGTCCGACCAATTTTTACCTTCTCTTTGCTTTTGTAAGTATTATCTTGAGAATTAATAGCTGATTTGCAGATTTTGCCTCAGTAGGTCGAACGCAAAAGAATCAAGACAAGGCGTCCTATCTATCGTGAAAAAACTATAGTCTTTTTACAAAGCTGATTCCTTTGTGTTTAACTACTGAGGCAAAATTCGCAAGTCAGCAATTGACTTGATTGAATACAAAGTAACACAAAATGTGTATAACATGAAAGTACAAACTAGTGTTATGTTATGTTAGTTTGATTATTTACATTGTGTGTTGTTAAGGCTATAGACCTATCCCACACTCGCTTAGATGAACGAGAAACAATGGCTTCGAGTCAAGACTGGAGTTTTAGATTTTGTCAAAAACTCCAGCCTTGAACTGGAGCCATGCATTGTTGTGTTCATCTATGAACGTATGGGAAAGTTATATCTACCACTGTACAACTATTGACTTTGGCCGACACTAATTAGCATATTATCGTAAAATTCATAACGTTGACAAAAGAAACCACACAGATGTAGATATCAAAGATAAAGATACATTCCGAAAGTTTCTCAGGAAAATATTAAATTCTCATTGAAGTTACAAGGGCTAAAAGAAGCACAACAACACCAAAACGAGGCCAATGAGGCCTCAGCGAAGAATTCCATACTGTATTTTCCACCCTCCATAACTTTGTTAGTATTTAGTCTATAGCTTCCAACTTACTAAAAATAGCTATTTCTGATAGTCCTTCCATTCCATATGATAGTGCTGAATGTCTCTAAATATTGCCAGTTGTATAAAATTAATGGTAGGCAATTATGAAAGTGGTCTATATTGAATATTATTATTGTTTGAGCTCTGACATGTTTATGTTTATTTTCAGACATTGGTTGAGGCATACACATTAGGTACCCTTGGTAAGTAAACTCTGAACATTGCTACAAAACAACAGTTTATGAATTATCAGCACTTCAACTAAAACATCAATGGCGCTTGCAAGGATTTCATTATTAGAATGGCAGGCAACCTGCAAAATCACTGGGCATCTATTTGTTGACATTTGGGTCAGCTACTTTTGCTAAATTACATGTTGTAATGCTTATGCTAGCTTATGATTCCAATGTAAGGCAATTAATACTTACCAAACAAGGAGATTTATTAATGATTGACTGATAATTATTTTATCAGTGACCTTTTATGACAAGATGATTGTGCTYGAGGCATTTGGRATGACTGCAGCAACCACCATTGCACTRACAATGTACACATTTCAAAGCAAGAGAGACTACAGTTCWTGGGGAGCAGGGTAAGTTATTCAAACCTCTTTGTAGTACAAAGGCATCAAAAACATTTCTAGAGATAGTAAATGGCAGAGCAGAGTCACTTGAACCATGAAAATAGAAACTAAATACTTAGTTACTAATAGGCACTATTTAGACACTATCACTGAACCAGAACAGTACAAAGAGATTACTTTGATTGTTATAGTGGTCTCTTGTTGGGTATTGCTTATTGGATCAAATAAACTGTTCTGGTTCAGTGCTAACGACTATTAGGAACTAATAGTGCCTATTAGTTAGTACTTTTTAGTTCTTATTTCATGGTTCATGTGACTCTGCTCTAGTAGTATTTAATAGTTTGTACTTACTGACTTATAGTACATGTATATGTTTGCTAAACACTAATAAAATCAAAAGGTAATAAATATATTGTTCCAGTTCATGGACATACACTTTTAGTTAGTAAATACAGACAAATAAATACTACTTTTTTATTGGTTCACAGTGCAYTTACTCTAATACTATGCACTAGTTCCATACATTTGTTCGTACTAACAATAGTACTTTATAAAATTTTCGATATATAACGCTCGCTTTGATTTGCTGATGACCGTGTTTATATCAGAGGACAGAGACACGGCTTACCGGCAAAATTTGCTTTTCGCTCGAAAAATTTTATAAAAGAAATATAAAACGGCCGCTTGTGTCTCTGTCCTCTGATATAAACATGGTGGGAGTTGAAAAACACTCGAGAAACAAGAGAAACACTCGCTACGCTCGTGTTCCCAAGCTTGCTTCTCTCGTGTTTTTTGAACTCCCACCGTCTTTATATCAGAGGACAGAGACACGTGCGTCGTTTTATATTTCTTAATTCTAATAATGTTGCTGGTTATCTAATGAAAGCTTGTTTGTTGTTGTTTTTTTTTGGTCTCATACATCTTTACTTTGCATTACAGATTGTTCACAATTCTGTGGATTTTTATTGTCGCTGGATTTATGCAGGTAAGAAAATAATATACTAAAACTACAAGGATACCTGTGTAGGTGTTGTTTTACTAAAATTCTAGCCCCGCTTGTATGAAGTAAAGGGTGGATAACGTTATAAATACAGTACATTGATTTTGTATTTATTTGCTATTATCTTCTGGAAAGGGTTTAACATGTAACTGGCCACAAATGTATTACTAAATACAATGTACACTGTCCATATTGCCTTACAGTAAATTATTTCCATTTTTCCTTCTAGTTTTTCTTCCAAAGTGAGCTCCTTGAATTGGCCTATGGTGTTACAGGAGCCTTGCTGTTCTCTGCTTTCATTGTGTTTGACACACACATGCTAATGCACAAGATGTCRGCGGAGGAGTACATCATGGCGTCAATCAACCTTTACCTGGACATAATTAACCTATTTATACATATCCTCAAGATATTAGACTCGTTAAAGAGGAATTAAAACATGTTGCAACATGAATTTATAGCACACCTGGTTTAACACTCCTCCACACCCATTTAGAACCAGCTTTGTTACACAAAGAAAAAATGGATGGGAAGGAGTGTAGCAATCAATAAAAGGGAGGCTGTGAAGGAGACTAGTGTAACAAGGGTCTAGACTTGATTACAAGCACAGTTATTGGAAGATTTACTATAAATTGTAAGCTATTTAGCGCACAAAAACTTTGTTTTTTTTTATTAATTTTTGGTTAAGACCAATTAGTTTGTTTCAATGTTTGATAAAATAATTATCATAATAATATTACACCATGTAAAAAACGCAGAGTGAATAAATGTGTTAAATTTCAATCAATAAAAYCTTGACATACGTATAAAAAAATTGAAAATTTGTTGTAACATGTAACTCTGTATTAAAGTTTGTTTAGTTTGTTTGAATGAAAAGGAAATATATATTATATCAAATAAAACACTGTCTATTGCTGTTCCTGAGCACATTTTTACAGTTGAGCAAAAATCYCTAGATCTTCAGCATGAAAAGACAGCATCCCCAAATTACTTKTCAAATATTGTTGCTCTGTATTTTGCRTGTGAAAGACTGAAATGCTTATCTCATCAATCATGAYCATTATTATCTTTCCATCTGTTCCACTTATCKTGYAATCTTTGAGTAAGTGTTCGTGGTTCAAGTAATCTCTGTGCAGTTTCCTCTAATATTTTCACATTCTTTTCAATGTACACTTTTGTATCAATTTGAACCTGATCCAACATCTCAGCACGACACTCATCCATTGCAATTTCCTCAGACATGTTGGGATTCAGGCGGAAGTATGTGTGTTTGGGTAGTAGATCTCTTAGGACAATGTCAACAGCTAGAGAAAAGAAAACAGTCAAAAGGTGTGTGCACAGTGAGAGTTAGTGAGGGTTCTAATAGCCTCATGGGGAGGGCGCTAGCAAAAAAGGAAAAGGAGGCAGAGTTGTTCTTAATTTCTTGACACCGGTTCTCTGCCAAGATTATTAACACAGGAAGACCAAAAAGTCTGTTTCTGTTTGAATACTCCAGTTTCCAATTCTCTTTTATGCCAGCTTAGCTTCAATCAAGCATAAATTTGTATTCCTAGAGTGCTTGCATTACAATAGATTCTCTGCTGAATAAAAGAATAAATTGCTTTCAAGGTTGAAAAGGAAAGGTGTTGGGTGCTAATCGTCCTTCATGGCAGCATGGGTGCTGAATTGCGAAAGACGCAGCTCGACGCGCTCTCAAGTCGAAGTGTTATATTACAGACACATTTTACAGACACTTACACATAGGCGTGCTGCCGGCTAGGCGCTTCCTTTACATAGCAACGAACGACTGAACGCGGAGCACAGCAGATAGAAATGGTTCGTTTTTTTCTGAGGGACTAAAACCCGGAAAGACCCGGAAAAACCCTCAACGCAAGGGAGAGAACGAAAGAAACTCAAATCACATTGGCGCCTCCACCGAGATTCGAACAGTGTCCACAGAGGTGACAGGCTAGCGCTCTCACAGCTCGGCCACCCATGCGTCCCAAAGGTTAAGGCTGCACAAATAAGATCTCGAAACTGGAGTACAAGCAGGTGAAGGAGGCTAGCTGGAACCAAGCCCCATGAAACCTTTGGGTACACCCAATGACAATCACCCTCTGCAGGGCTCGAAGTAACGGCTGGTCAAAGGACAACATCATTCCAAATTTGCTAAATGACCTGTCAAATCAGGTTTTGAAAGGACAAATTGACCTGCCACATTTTCAGACTACTGTAATCAATTCTCAATTCGCTAAATAATCTTTTACAGGACATTAAAATGCTTGCTGATCTTTCTAAATACAAAACCTATAAATTAAAAGAAAATAATAGTATAATAGAGTTTTTGTCCTTCCAAAACTTGACATGACCTTCCAAAAATGAATTGGAAGGACATCTTGTCCTGCATATGTCTGGCCGTTATTTCGAGCCCCTGCCTCTGCCTTGTTGACAAATGACAAATGCTGGTTACCTTCAGTATCTGTAGCACTTGCTACAACTTTAAGCAGCTTCTCTCTTAGTGTGCTGAAGCTTGGGGTTGGGGAACCAACCCTTCCTTTATATAAACCAGTTCCCAGTGACAATATGCATTGAATAGGTGTAGATGGCCATAGCAGTCGTGCTTCGTGTATTGCAATTGCACTTGGGTTATTAGTTAGAAGACCACCATCCTGTAAGTATTAGAAGACCACTTATCATTACAATGATTTTGAACCCCAAAACACTATAATAGTCTCCATCACAGTTAACTGTGCCATCTGAAATGTAGCTGTGCCTTTTGCATCGAAGCAAGATGACCGTCAAGCGTGCAATGATAGATACCTGTGAATAATTGTCTGTAGGTATGAAAGAAAGTTTCTATCATTGCACGGCCGCTCAAAGTTTGTCTCGCTTCAACGCAAAGGCATGGCTACCTTTGAAGATGGCGTAGGTAACTATGAAGGAGACTATTGGTGAGTGTATTGATGTAATTAAACTGAGCTGACTCACTAGAGGGTCAATGTAGTAATCATACAGTAATGTCAGTTATGGTCAGCAGAGTTCAAAAGTAATTATTTTAATACTTTCTGAAACCCTCACTGAATAGGCCTTTTGCATAAAACAATCAGACAAATTGGTACTAAATCCACCATACTGGATGGCAAAATAATGTAAACAACCTCAAAAACAAAGGAACTAAGCCTGTCAAGCTTGACGTTCTTTGTTTTTGATCATCATTTTGAGCATGGGTAATTTTGCCATCCACCATGGCAAATTTTGTACAGTGTGACAGTTTCATGCAAAAGATTTGAATGTAATGACCGYATGGCACTATGATAAACATGATATAGAAATAAAGGAAAGTTATAGTGTGCTAGGAAGGTGGTTACTCTGGGAGAAAGATCCTTGGAAATTCGGAAAAATTAATTTCTGACCTCGCTGGGATTCATGCAAAATGGCTATTCATGATAAAGACACTGTCTTGTTTCTGTAAGWATCACCTGATGAACATCATTATCTAATCTGCATTCCTCAAAGAATCCAGGTGCAGCACAAGAYGCTTTTAAAGCCTCCCATATCCTGTACTGACAGCCACCAGGAAATCTTGGTAATGAGTTGAATGGATGAGTATAGTTACCAAACACATATGGCTTGAGCACTGGCTGATTGACAAGTGTTGACACTAAAGCAATCTGAAGAAAAAGGGAACATCATTGTTTTGATGCTGTTCGCATTGCTATACACACCCAGTCCAGAAATTTTCAAATACAATCAGAGCTAGACTGCTTTTAGTCAAAATGTTCAAAGAAATCAGTGATTGGTCAAAAAGTGCCTTTGTTGATTGACAGCAGTCTATTAATAATTGCAGTTGTGAATGTTTAACTGGACTGGTTGCATAGCAACTGCACAGCTACGTCGTTTAACAGACATGTAATATGGAAATTTCTGTCAAAATTGCTGGGTAAAGGCAAACTAACCTTTGGTATGGCAGTATCATATGAAGAATCTATAAGYCGCATTTCACCRCCATGATCTCTGMAAAATGAGAGGAAAACTGAATTAAAGTGGGTGTCAACARGCTGCAATGTCTTGGCTTAGATTGTGTTTACAATCAGTTTCCATCTATTGAAAGGAGGCTCACAACATGTTTAATGATTTTAATACAGAAATTATAATCATTTYAGCTCATATTTCAAGTATAATAAGACAAAGTATATAAAAAATTATGGGATATTATCGCCAATATTTTTTTCAGAAAGTACTTGTGCTAGTCAACTTCAAAAAAATATATACATGTACTTGGAGTATGAGTCAAAATGATCATAATTTCTGCATATTGCTATATTAGTGCAAAATGAAAATAGTGCAAGTTTTTGATTTAAATTCTACTACGCATTTTGAATCTCAAAACACACATTGTGAACTAAGCTTGTAAGGGATGGTGGTTTTAACTGTCATCATGTAAAGTTTAGACCATGTTTTCTGACACTACTTACTTCAAAATATCYTCAAGCTTAGTAGTATCATAAAAAGCATGTGTCCAGAACAATTTTCCTGTACCAATGAGTGTATTTCTTTCAAATAAATCCATGCTCAACTTCTTGTAGACATATTCACATTCTTCAAGAGGCATTTTCTTAATTCCAATTAGGACAGCTAGTATGGCACCAGTGGAAACWCCACATATCAAGTCAAACAGCTCATAAATCTCCTTATTGCAGGCATCTTCTATTCTTTTAAGAATTTCTATTGGTGCAATTCCYCTAATAAGATAAATAAATAATGGGTGTATATATATTTGAGATAGTACATTACAAAAGGGGTCTTAGCTTTAGCAGAAATATCTAGATGTCCAAAAGCCGCAATTCATTCACCTGGTGCATCAAAAGGGCCTTCATTCTTTGTCTCAATTTTGTGTTGTCAATTTGTTGAATACAAATGGTTTTGAGTGGCAACTGTGGAATATTCTTAGTGTCACTTCTAATTTTTAGCACTACTGTATTTAAAGTGGGGGCCAGTTATCCACTTCTGAATAGCATTTATATGGCCATTTTACATGCATCTACTGGACAAGGATTTATTTGGTGGATAGCGGCAATTCCCCTTTTATATGACTTCAGATAAGAAATAAACAACAAAGCTATTGCCGCCATATTGTATGAATGAACAAGAGAAACTAAATGAGGAATGGTTTGTGATTTTCATCCAACATGGCAGCGACAACATAACTTACATGCCAAGTGACAACTAGAATATCAACCAAAAGGCGCAAGAAACTATTGTCAATGCAACTCTTTACCCCCACCCCCTCCCCTATCCAGGGGCAAACCATTGATAGGTGCATTATACCTTGAGCCACCTCCATCAATACTCAGAATTCTTATCCCCCATCCATTCACAGGTTCCACGTTTCCTAGTAGAGTAAGTCCTTTTCTCGCTTCCCTTCTTATCTCCGCGTTCTTAAACTTCTTCAGATTCAGTACAGTTTCAATGGCACCATCTCGAATAGCCTCGTTACGTCCAGAGTGTACATAATTCAAGACATGTTCATTGAAACGTTCAAGTCTTATCAATAACGATTGCTCATTCTGTGCATCTCTTACAGCTTTAAGAAGACTACGAGTTCGGTTTTGAATGCTTGCTACAGTTCTTAAAGGGCTAGAAGCAGAATTTTCACTACAAAATCCACGAGTTTTGACACCAAAAGCCAGCTTGATGTCTTTGACATCATTTTGCACAAAATATCTCTTGTTCAACGTGTACAAACACGGATTTTTGTACAAAGAAARACACGGTCGCTTTATGCACGACCTCATGGAGTTTTTTCTACATCCTGAGCTTGATTTTGWAKTATTAATCAACGATAATTTCCAATGTTGTTGTGCARTGTTTTTCAAAATGGCCGCGCGTTCATTATTAGTTTCCAGGTTTTTCGGCCATAAAACACAGGAAGCCCACCAGAAACACCTGCCCCTCACAAACAGTCATATGCCTTAAAATGTGTATAATTTTGAATTTTCTACCTATTTTTTTGCGTTGATTTATTTATAAGAATATTATGTTATCATGACCAAGAAATCAATGAAAATCAGAAAATAGAGGAGAAAAGTGTAAGTGCGCTGTCTGTGTTAGTGCGCGCAAATTGAAAGTACTTACCCGCTTATAAGAACCTTTTTTTCAAATTTAGCCTAAATGGGTTTTTATGTAAGTGTTTTTTAGTGGAATCTTAGGCTACGCAGGCTCTTATTTAATGAGAAATATATCATTTATGCCAAAACAGGCATGGCCTTTAGTATGTGACCATGACCCCATTTTTAGTATATTCAAACATTATTTATAACAAATTTAAAAGTGTATATACATGTTCAAGCTCACTACATTTGAGTCATGTTTTTTTGCATGAAGATTTTTTATGTTGATTTTTAGGTTAAGAACCTTTGTGACCTTTAATTTCTACAARAACCTGTTTCAGATTTTAGGCGTAAACAGGTTGGGTCGCTATTTTGATATTTTTAAATTAGGCTAACAGTTCTTAAATATGCAGGTTCGGGTAAGTACTGTAGCCGATTGTGCAAAGGCTGGATAGCACTATCCTCCGGGTAAATCTTATCCAGCGGAAAAATTCTATACAGAATCTAAGGAGTGAATAACGGTGCATAACTTTAATGGTTCACCCGTCGTTCAACTGCACCAATGTGCACTGCGGGCAAACGAGCGCGCAAGTACTTTCAAAGTATGGATTTCCTGTGAAATTCCCGTACACTTACATTGCCCTTATGCCATTTATCTACCAAAGTCTTTTAGCGGTTGCATTGTRGACACTATTTTGGTGCGCAGGCACCAGTGCTGATCATAAAGGGATAATTTGCGCTCATACTGCATGGACCGGATGAAAGATCTGGATTTTGCACTCGATTGGAAACTGGCACAGGTGCCTGGATTGTCTGGATTGGGTAACAGCAATGCAATATGCGTCCACAGTAGAACTAGTCAAAGACCCGGTCACGAACATTATCTTACCGATTCGACTGGACTGCACGAAGCAGTTTTGTACCCAGTGCCAGACTTGGCCGCAAGGCAGTCTTGACGCTCAGTGGAAACCCCCCATTGCAGCTATTATACAGTCGTTTGAATACCCCCATGCACTCCTAAAGTATGCATGTGAATCGTCTTTTTCATGACGTTGTATAGAAAATGACCTATAGACTTCTCCATAACCAATAAGTCGATTACTCTTCAAAGCTGTGTCCCCTAGCTTTTTCATATAAGTTTTTGATTTTTATAATATT